GCGCCGGCCCGGGAGCTCCGGCCCTCGCCGCTGCCGCCGCGCACGTGCGGCTGCCGCCACTCGCCCAGCCTACGCCCGCAGCCGCTTTGTTGCCCGCCAACGCCGGCACCATGCACACCCCGGGCTCCGTCGGCTCAGGCGACACACGCGCGGTGAGTGACGGGGCGATGCGGGAGGACGTCGGTCTCAGTACGGAGCAGATCGGCGAGGGCGCGGGACTTGCGGGGAGCAGGCAGTGATGGGCCTGGCGGACGCGCATGCTGGGGCAGGGCGGATAGGGGGCGTGTACCGCGCGACCAGCGCAGCTTTGTCTGGCCTCTGCTCGCCCTGCGCGGGGCTATTTCCAGCCATGACGTCACTCGGGGCTTTGGTAGGCGGCCGTTGGGCGGGGGCGCGGCTGGCGGGAACGCGGCACGCGGGGCCAGGGGCGGGGCGGGGCCCCTGGCGGGAAAGCAGCGCGCCAGGGTTGGGCCAAGACTGGACGGGAATGTGGAGGGCGGGGAAAGGGGCGGTGGCCAGGGTGGTGCGCCTCTGGGCAGGGCCAAAGCGGCAGCGAATAGCAGGAATGCGACGCGCAGCAAGGGGCGGGGGGAGGGTAGTTTATGCGGGAGGGGCGTGACGAAGTAGAAATTAGGGCGACTGTCTAGGTAGTCAGCGGGGGCGGGGCGAGCTGTGGGCGGGTCGGAGGCGCTGGCGGGAACGCTGCACGCGGACTCTAGAGTGCTTCGGGCCTCTGAGCTTCACAGTTGTCTACATTCCTGTGGCCTGGGAGCTGCGGGATGCCCCAGGGCGCGGTCCGTGACCAGCCCCATAAGATGGAGAGCGTTGATGTACCGGTAAATTGAGTGGGAGTGTGTGTGTACAGATCTAAGATTTGTTTTCTGAAGAAAACGGTTAATCACACTTGACAGACACTGCACCTAGTTAAAAAACAAGTGGTGGGGCGGGGAGGGAGCTCAGGGGCATAAGTGCCTGTTTGGCAAGCACAGGGTTCTGCGTTCGAGTTCAATACCCAGTACAAAACAAAAGAAGTGGTATGGGCCAAGAAGAGGTCCTTTTGGAAGTGGAGGATTTTTTTTTTTTTTTTTTTTGAGACTTTTTTTTTTTTTTTTTTTTTTTGAGACAAAATCTCACTGTGCAGTTCAGGCTGGCCTTCACCTCCCCATAGAATCCAGGCTTGACCTTGAACTTGCAGTGATCCTTTTCAGACTCTGGGTGCTGGTATTACTGGTGTGCACCACCACCCCAGGCTCGTGGTGGGTATTTCACACTCTCCCTGTCCTAGCGTTGAAGATAGCAGCGGACTTAATGTTTCTGAATTTGCTGGGAAATAGGTTTTGGGTTATTTGCCTGAAGTTCAGGCACCGGAGGTTTGGCCTGTGCTCCCGATGATTCTGCTAGCCCAGGTATCATCAGAGGGTGTCACCAGCCGCAGACACTTAGTGTCATTGTTTGCTCACTCACCCTGTGACATTGTTCAATTCCCACTCTGGCTTTACCTCTGAAGTGAGGCAGGGCTTTCAGTGGAAAATACTTGCTGGCCAAGTGCAGTCCGAAAGCAGTTGTGAGTGCTCCCTCGAAGTCCTGTCCTTGGCAGAGCCTGGGGTGCTGTGTGCTGCATCTTTAAGTGCAGACCTGTGTTGGTGTCAGACTTGCCTTCCCTGTCCCTATGCACTGAGGAGCCATTGCGATTTTTGCCTTTAGGTGGACATCATGGACATCTGTGAGTCCATCCTGGAGAGGAAGCGGCATGACAGCGAGAGGTCTGCATGTAGCATGTTGGAGCAGACGGACATGGAAGCCGTTGAGGCTCTTGTGTGCATGAGCTCCTGGGGTCAGAGAGCCCAGCAGGGTGACCTGCTAAAGATAAGACCTCTCACCCCCGTCTCTGACTCCGGCGACATGGCCACCACTGTGCTTGTGGATGCACCTGTGCCCGAGCTACCAAAGGACTTACATTCTTTCTCAACGCTGGTAAGAGGAGGGTAGAGTGTTTTCTGGAAGAGGCCAGGCAGTGTAGAAATGCTCCAGAGAATGTGATGTGAGGCTCAAGGGTGCTTCCGGTGTGGGCCCGAGGAGTTCATCTCTGTTACACCTGCTCCTGCTCTTATGGGCCTTTGCTTTCGAAGCTGCAGTTAGCAGCATTGGGGTGGAAGTGTAGATGGACTCCAGTAAATCCTCTGTTTGCCTTTAACTTGCCTCTGTGACCTGCTTTCTTGGCTTTTTTATTTTTTTGCCCACCTGTATTTTTAGGGAAGGGTCTACAGGGTGTTCAGGATCTCACTACTAGATCGGACTCCTAGTGATTCTCCTGTTTACAGCCTCCCAAGTACTGGGATTACAGGCGCATGCCACCACGCCCAGTCTCAATCACTGTCTCAGTGCGCCCCTGGGGGCGGCCGGCACAGCAGGTCTGGGAATTGAACCCCCAGCCCCTGCACCTGCTTGCAGGTGCTTTAATCCACTGAGCTATTTGGCCAGCCCTGCCTTCTTGTCTTAAGCTGCTCAAGGTGATAGGCTGTGACTGACCTGGGCTGGAGGTGGCAGGGTAGAAACCTGTGGAGTGAGAGCTGGGGCACTGGAGCTTGTAGGGCCTCAGCCTTACTTCTTCCTCATGGGACTGTTGAGGACAGTGTGGAGTGAGCCACTGAGTCTTGGCAGGAAGTGGACAGCAAGTACCCATCTTAGTCTTCAGAGGTACTGGGGTTGGGACTGGCTCAGATCTGTCCTCACTAGGTGCATTTAAAAGGGGCAGGCACAGTGATCAAGTAAATGCCTTTAAAGTTTAACCCATGCGGCCCATCACATGGCCCATCACACAATGCCTTGTTTTCCAGTGTATGACGCCTCCTCAGAGCCCGGACCTCATGGAGCCATCACCAGGGGCACCAGTTCCTCCCCGGGCAACGCATTCCAAAGCACACACTGACTTCGCCCCTGCCTCAGTAGCCAAAGCACTAGGGAGGAGGGCAGAACAAGAATCACCAGGACGGAAACTCAAGCTGCCTGAGCCCTGCAGGGCCGTAGTGACAAGTGTGATCAGACACACTGGGGAGTGTTCTGCTCTTGCTGGTTCCCCCACTACACAGCCCGGAGGACAGCTGGCTACAGCCATGATTGGGGTGGGAGAGGTACAGTTTCCGGGCCTGTCTGAAGCCCCCCAGGATGTACTTCTCCAGGACAGCTTTCTCCATGCCAGCTCCACTTCCAGCCAACCTTGTTCGCACAAGCCTGGTAGCCCTCTCCCCATGGACAGAGACCAGCAGCCAGGGTGGCCCAGCCTAGAGGCCTGTTCACTGAAGAGTCCCAACAGTGACCTGCCAAGGAAGAGCAGCCCCCAGCCTGGCCCTCTGGTGTCCATGCCTCTTTCCAGCACCCCTGTTCTCTGTCAGATGGTCCCCATGCCTGGACAGGCGGGGGTGTTGCCAGCTTTCCTCAAGCCCCCTGTGCCCGTGGCCTCAGGGCCTGGCAAACCCATCCTGCCCCAAGCCATGCCTGCGTCTACACCCCATCCTGTGTTGTTGAGCCCTCCCGTACCTGTCCCCATGCCTGTGCCTCAGGGAGCTGTTATGCTGGTCCTGCCCCCACCCACCCTGTCCCCGGCCGCCAGCTGCCCAGCCAGTGTCATGGCTGTGGGTGGCCCAAAGCTGCTGCCCCTTGCCCCCGCACCCGTGTTCTTCACCTCCAGCCAAAGCTGTGCCCCTCAGGTTGATTTTTCCCGGAGAAGAAACTACATGTGCGACTTCCCAGGCTGTCGCAAGACCTACTTCAAGAGCTCACACCTCAAGGCTCACCTGCGCACACACACAGGTAGGTGTGACCAGGCCTCTGAAGGGGCCAGAGTGCATGGAGAGTGGGGGCGGGGAGCTGGGCTGTGCCTGCACCTCCTCACTCCCTCTGCCTTGGCCTACTTTGCATTTTAGAAAACGTGCATGGACATTTAGGCTGTTTTCAAAACTAGGAAGGCTGAGTTCCAGGTGTATACAGTAGCTCTTGAGCCACTGCGTATACAGTATTATAGACGTGAGCCACTGCCCCTGGTCTAAAGACACCCTTTTTTTTGTTTTGTTTTGTTTTTGAGATAGGGTCTTACTTATATAGCTTAGGGTATCCTTGAATCTGCTGCAGTCTTCCTGCCTCCATCTCCCAAATGCTGGGATTGTAGGCATGTGCCACTTAAAGATTAGGTTAGTGTGACATTTTGGAGCTTTGGTGTTTTACATCATAGGTATGGTAGAAAGAAATAGGCGTGTGATTTCTTGACTTCTGAGTCACCCAGCGCCAGAACAGCAGAGAATTCCTTCTTCTAGGATTTTGGTCAGACAGAATTGTCAAGTGGCTGGAACTCAGCAGGCCATGATGCAGTGTGGGCTTCCTCACTGTGCGCTTTCTCATCCTTAGGGGAGAAGCCTTTCAGCTGCAGCTGGGCGGGCTGTGAGAAGAAGTTTGCACGTTCTGATGAACTGTCACGCCACCGCCGCACACACACGGGGGAGAAGAAGTTCGCATGCCCAGTGTGCGAGCGGCGCTTCATGCGCAGTGACCACCTGACCAAGCATGCACGGCGTCACATGAGCACCAAGAAGGTCCCGGGCTGGCAGGCAGAGGTGGGCAAGCTGAATGGAGGTGTAGCAGCCGAGAGCCCGGCCAGTTCCACGGTGCCTGCGCCCACCTCACCCTGAGTGCCCGCTCCAAAGGGTCCCAGTCCAGTCTTTGAGCCCTCGTCCCAAGCCAGGGAGTCCCCTGTGCTGCTTTGGGTCAGGTTGGCAGAAGCCAGTTCCGACATGAGTTGTTCACTTCTTTTCTGTTTGGGACCCTGTTCCGTCCATATCCTTTGCAGTTTCACGGTATTTTTTTGTTTAAGGAAATGGGGAAGATTGATGATCAAAATCACCAGCATTCACACAACAATTTTGGCAGTAAAGTTTACAAAATCTGGATTTTTACAACCTTTTTATTCATGTTTTGTAGAAATAAGACAGGGTACTAATTTTATACTGTTTTTTTATAAAAATATTTATATTGTTGGTGCTCACATCACCAGCTTCTAGATAGCTCACATCCAGCCTTCGTTTCAGTGTTTAATAACAGTTCTGTAGTGACCTTGCTTTTAGTCAGCATGGCACATATATCAGAAGAGGAGCCCAAGTTTGTGTCCAGACCTTTTTGAGCTGAGAGTTTGGATTGAGAATGGGGTGATGGCCTCTGCAAAAGCAGGGAAGGCCAGGTCCTACCGCCCTGGAGGTGGGGCTCCCAGCATGTTGGGGTGCTGGTGTCCTCGGGCCAAGGAAGAGCAATTTGTGCCTGAGGTGTTTCATTTGGCCTGCTGCCTGGTCTTGTGTCCCCTGACCTCAGGGGACAGTGTGGCTTCACTCAGCTCTAGCTGGGGCAGCTGCGTGGGAAACAGGCGTTGTGTCGGTGGGACAGGTTGGCGGGGCTCTCAAGCCAGGAGCTGTGGTTCTGGTTCTGGCTCCAGCTCCTATTGGGATTCCTCCACTAGGTGTGAAGACTAGGGAGCTCGAGGTCCACTGCTGGCTGTGTCGCCTCCTGTATGAATGAAGGAGTCCTGAGTGGGAGACACTGACCTACAGGCTTGAGCAGCTGAGCCCATGCTGCTGCCACCACCCGGCTCAGTCGAGAAATGGAGTCGGGCATGGTGGTGTATGCCTGTAATTCCAGCACTCGGGAGGCTGAGGCAGGAGGATTGTTGCAAGTTCAAGACCAGCCTGGGCTACAAAGTGAGCTCAAGGCCAGCCTGAACTGTGTGACGAAACCCTGTCTCAAGAAAGGAAAAAGCAATGGAAAAAAGGAAAAAAAGAAGCAATGGAAGGGTGGGAAAGCTGCACTACTTTGGTAGCCGCAAAGAATGCTACGTGCACTACATATTTAGCTGCTGGCTTTGCCTTCTAGTTTTGGGCTCTTAGCCTTTGTTTCCTTGAGGGCAGGGGAACTGTTGGCCGATGACCTTAAAGGTGAGAGTTGCCTTCAGCCCTTTGCAGTCTGCTGGGGCCCTCGCCTGCTGGGTCATTCAGTGTGTTACCTGATGCCCACTAAGTTGCCCTTTCCTGTCAACTGCTTTTCACCCCGTGTGCTTATGTGTGCGTGTGCAGATCCAGGTTTCCGCATCCTGGACAGTTCATAGTGTGTGTTCCTAGAGCTTCGGGAGAACCATGTGTATGTCCCTGCTCTCCATCCCCTGCCCTTCATGCGAGGTCAGTGTAGCTACTGGCTGCCATGTGTCGCCCTGGCTCAGGTCTGGGTGACTTCCTGTTAGGCCCCTTGAGGTGCTGCCCCGGCAGTGCTGTGGCGGAGGATGGCTCCACAGTATCATTATTTCTAAATAAACGGGCCGGAAATCATTGCATTTCAGTTTCCACTTCCTGACTGTTGGAGGGGTGCTTGCTCTATGCACCCCATTTGCCTGTCGAAAGGTCACAGGTTGGAAAACATCTGGAGACTGGGAGCAGAGTCAGCCCCCTCTGCCTGCCACTGCGCCTGCCCTAGGGGCCTGTGCACTTTACCCCCCAGTGGGTTTGCTTGATCTTTTTTGACTTTGAGCCTTTAAAGTAGTTTCAGTAATAAAATTTAAAATGTTTCATAATTATGAGTTATATAACAGATTTTGACTTATTTAAGTATGTGTAATGTAACTTTTTCCTTTAAATCATATAAAATTTTCTTGATTTGCAAGCTGGACTTGTGTCCCATGTCATTTCACTGCGCTCTGGTCAGTAACCCCCACAGCCTGGACTCTGCCCAGGTTCCTGGAGCATCTGTCCCCAAACTCCTGTGAGTGTGTCAGTGTGGACTGCAGCTTCTCCTTAGGCTGTGGGGATGGCAGCTCTACTCTAGTTGGGACAGGGTCTGGTGCACAGGGTGGTCCTGTGGCCCTTGGGCTCATCCCCATCTGTGGCATGGACCTTGGAGGAGTCTTCAGGGTCCTTCTCCAGAGGTCTCCAGCCGCTACTTAGGGCTGGGCACTGTCCTGGGCTGGCAGTGACTGCACCATCACATAGTCTGTCCTGCATTCTGGGAGACTCAGGTAGGAGGATGGCTAGTTAGTGCCAGCCCAGGCTGGACAGCTTGGCAAATAGAGACCCTGCTTTGGAACCAAAAAAAAAAAGGCTGAGCTGTAGCTCCATGTGAAGGCCCTGGGTCCAGTCCCCAAAGCCACCAAAGCAAACACCCATCACAAGCTATCTGCTCTGCTGCTCTTTAAGTTGTATGGCTTTGCACCTAGTGCCCCAGGAAGAGCCCCATGGGTTCCACCAGAAGGTGGGTTCAGGGACTGCCCCACAGTGGGCCCTCAGCTCCTGGCTGCCAGTTGCTGTACTGGGAGCCCCATCCTTACACAGCTGGGCTCCCTGAGAGACTGCCTAGCATGTGATACTGCTTTTAAAACTCAATTGCAAAGACCCTTATGGTTTATTATTTTTAAAAAGTAGGGAAATTTGTTGGGGAATAGGAATTGGGGATATAAATAGCTCCTGAGACAGGAGGGGTCCCAAATTGGTTTGCTCCTTTTTAAGACAGGGTCTTACTGTGTAGTCTAGACTGGGCTTGAGCTTTCTACCCTCCTGCTGCAACCTCCCAAGTGCTGGGATTATAAGAGTGCACCACTGGCCCTGGTTGCCCTGACTGTCCACTTGACATCTTTCCAGTCAGCACCTAAGACTCAGGCTAGGTCCTCCCATGCTGCCCTGCTGCCCTTCACCTCATATGCCCTGCTGGTTCAGGCTGAGATTTTGGGCCTCAGAGCCCTCCACACATCCAGTGTGTCAGACCCTGGTTCCTTTAAGAACATCCAGGGGCCTAAGTGCTGCTCCCTGCAATCACTGTCACTGACCTGGCCGCCATCATGTCACTTGGACCTCTGCCAGCCCTCCCTGCTTCACTGCTTCTCTGGGGCCCCTTAGCCTGTTTAGCAGCCCCTGTGAGAGCACCAGGAGCACCAGGTCAGCCACCTATGGTCCCAGCACTCTGGGAGGCTGGGTCAGGAGAATCACATGCATGAGCCCAACCTGGGAGTTTAGTAACTCCTTGTCTCAAAATTTTAAAAAAAGGATGTAGCCCAATGAAAATGCCCTGGGCTCAGTCCCCTGCTACAAAAAAGACAAAACCCCCAAATCTCTGAAAACATGCAGTGCCACTCCCCATGGTGACCCTACCAGGAGGGCATCTCTCAACCTGTCCCAGGCAGCGTTGTAGGAGTCCTGTAGGAGGCTGGCCTCAGGTGTCCTGTTTTAACAGTGACGTCACAATGCAGACGTTTACATCAAGTTCAAAGCCTGATTCCTCTGGAGTAAGAAATAAAATGGTCACCTGCTTTATCTTACTCTGTTATTTTGAGCCAGGGTCTTGCAATCTGGTCCACACTGACTTTGAACTCTCAGTAATCTTACTGTCTCAGCCATCCCAGTGCTAGGATCACAGGTGTGCATCATCATGCCTAGTGGCTTTGAGACAGGGTCTTGCTGTACAGTCAGGCTGCACCTGAACTAACTATATATGGGATTACAGGCATGCACTGCCATGCCTGGCTCCATACCTGGTTTAAGAAATAAAAATGTAACTTCTTTTACTTATTTTTATTTTTTTCAATTCCTTCAAAGTTAGTGCTTGTGTTAAAATAGCAGTGGCTTTTTTTTTATTAGAATGGGTGCTTTGGGCCCAGAAGCCCTGGGAGCTTTGATTGAAGCCATTCTTCCTATTCACAGAAGTTCATGGTGTGCAGGACTGCTGGTGGTCACTGAGGCCATGGGGAAGGGACATCTGGCCAATGGCTTTGTGTCCTGGTCGCTGCCAGGAAAGTCAACCTCTGGAGGATGCAGGCTTCAGCAAAAGCTGCCCTGAAGGCTGTGGCAGCACATGACCACAGCCCTGGCCTCAGAAGCCTGCATCCCCTGGAGAGTGGTGACAGAAGTGAGTCCCTGGCTCCTGATGACACAGGGCCACACACCTGTCCCCAGGGCCATTAGCTGCTATGGGAGTATGAATCTGCACAGGTCGATTGGAGCTCAAAGCAAGTCTTCAGGAGGTGGCCGCACTCCACCAATCCCCGGCTGGGCACAGGCAATGACCAGGACAGCCACCACGAATAGCCTCAGCAGCTGTACTCCCGCTCAATGCTGGCCATCAGCTCCTCCTCTGCACGGTTGTAGGAGATGGATGACTGCCTTGTGGCGTGCTTGGGGCTCTTGCCGGGGGCTCTGCAGGTGAGAAACAGACATGGGTGAGACGTCAGTGTCACACTGGCATCTGACTGCCAAACGCCATGTTTGTGGTGGGTCCATTCTAAAACCCACAAATGACCAGGCACGGTAGTACATGTTGTCACCCCAGCACTTGGGACGCTGAGGCAGGAGGGTCTCTGAGAATTCAGAGCCAGCCTGGCCTATACAATGAGTTCAAGAGAATTTTTCGGAATGTCTTGGCCTTCTGAGCATGGGCAAAGTCCCTGTACCCACTGAGGAAACAGGAAGAGCCCTGCCACAGCAGGTGAAGGTGGTTCCCCTAGAATCCCCACAAGCAGGCTTCCAGTGCAAAGCTCTGGCCCACGCCAGCCCTGCAGGACAGCTCCAGGAACAGGGTCCCCTGGCTGCTGGCTCCCCGAGGCTAGGGTGTAGACCCTGAAGGAGATGTCAGGCTGAAACTGACTTTCTATTCCCTCCTGTGCCAGGGAGAGGAGATAGTTCAGCAGCTTACATACCTGCCTGGCAGTTAAGCACAAGGTCCTAAATTCAATCTCCCATAGTGTAAAAAAAAAAAAGACCTATTTCTCCTGAGGCTGGCTCACTGAAACCCAGGCATTGGGGTGAGCCAGGAGTGATGGCAGCGTGGTAGTTGGGCGTGGTGTTTGAGGAGTGGATGCTGCTCCCACCCCCATTTTTGAGGGCTTAAGTGTTGTATCATAAAGACTGCATATGTTGGGCTGGTGAGATGGCTCAGTGGTCTTGGAACAAGCTTGGCAAAGCACAGGGACTGCGGTTCAATCCCCCAGCACCACATGCCAGCCAGCCCCGCCCCCTGGTGGGCTGAGCTGGCCACACACACACACACACACACACACACACACAAACAAAAAAAAAAAAAAAAAAAAAAAAAAAAAGACTGCATATGTTACAGAGAGGCTAAAATTGTGGATTCTGCAAATGTGCCAACAGCAGAGGTGCTGTTTGACTTTGTCATATAGCTTCCTTCTATTGGAGGATGTTCTGCTTGGAGTTTTTGGTACGAGGGTCAAACCTAGGCTTATACTGAGCTAAGTCCCCAGACTGACTTATTTTTCTCATGTTTTTGTTTTTCTGGTGGTAAACCTTGTGCTTGCCAGGCAAGCACTTATTCCACTGAGCTATCTCCCCGGCCCCCCTGTTTTTTGTGTTTTTGAGACAGGATATTCCAACCAGCCTTAAACTCACTATGGTTTTTTGTTTTGTTTTCTTTCTTTTTTCCCCCCCATAATTTTATTGATAAATAAATAGTAATGAGACAGTTTCAAATCAAATTGGTAGGACAGTTTCAATAATTCACACATTGCATTTGTTTTCTTTTTGAGCCAGGGTCTTTCTATGCAGTTCAGGCTGGCCTTGAGCTCACTTTGTAGCCAAGGCTGGTCTTGAACTTGCGAGATCCTCCTGCCTTGGCCTCTTGAGTACTGAGATTATAGGAGTGCACCATTACACCCAGCCCTGGCCCTATTTATTTATTTATTTATTTTTGTGGAACCGGGGAGTGAATTGAGGACCTTGCGCTTGCCAGGCAAGCACTTATTCTACTGAGCTATCTCCCTAGCTCCTCCTATTTTTATTTTGAAACAGGCTCTTACTAAATCACTAAATTGCCCAGGCTGGGCTTTTCCTGAGATGCTCCTGCCTCAGCCTCCCAGAGAGATGCTGAATGTATGAGCAAGGGCAGGGTGGGGCTGGAGGGAGTGGGGGTGGCCTGGGCCATGGATCCTGACCTCATCTAGGAGGAGATGGGAGTTGGGGCAGGGGGCTCCTGTGACTTCTGGGACCTGACCTGAGGTGAGCTGTATGCACACAGCAGCTGGAGAATGAGTTGAGGCCTGGAGGACAGTGCTGGGCAGGGCGTTAGCAGGGAGGGCTGGGTGGCAGGGCCCCATAACAGCATGTTTCCCCCTGGGCATGGTGGCACATTTGGGAGGCTGAAGTAGGCGGGTGCCTCCTGAGTGCCGAGATTGCAGCTATGAGCCAGTAACCTTGTTTAGGAAGATAGTTTTTTTAGCTGTGGACAAAGTAACCTTTGGGAGAAAGTGAAAATGTCCATGAGTGAGGTTGCCTGGCTCTCCAGTCCTGGGGGGGCCTACAGGAACAGGCTATGGGACCCCATCAGGTGGGGGCCAGGATGCCCCCTGGGCTTACAATCAACGCTGCCCTGGCATGCGCGCACCCCATGTCTGCGCTGAGGACCAAAGGGCCAGGTGCTGCCTGCACCCGCAGTGTAAGCAGAGACCAGAGGCCGTGGGGCGGAGTCCCTACCCTCACTTACTCGGAGGCTTGGCTGCACTCTGGGGCGTCCTCAGCCTGTGGGCCTGTGGACACCTGGAGAAAGACAAAGGAAGAGGCGGCATGAGAGGCTCAACATCAGGTGGTGGCACGTGCCTGTCATCCTAGCACTGTGAGAGGCTGAGGCAAGAGGATCTTAAGTTTGATTGCTGACTGAGCAACTCAGCAAGACTCAAAATACAGCCTAAAAGGGGCTGGGGGCTCAGCTCAGAGTAAAGGCCCTGGGTTGTCCCCGGAACTGCACGAAGAAAGCATCCGGCCCAGGGGCACTGAGTGCATCTGCCTGCTGTGCAGCATCACCCCATCAGTGTGCAGGTGTCCCAGCCTTATAAAACCGAGCCTGGGAACCCAGAGGGCACTCCCTCCTGCCCCTCTGGGGCCAGGCAGCTGCGGTTCTACTTTCCATCTCTGTCTTGGACTGAGCTAAGCACCTTGTAGGTAAGTGGTCACACAGTATTTCTCCTTCCTATTTTATATTATTATTATTATTATTATTATTATTATTATTTGGCGGAACCAGGGATTGAACTCAGGTCCTTGCACTTGCCAGGGAAGCACATATTCCACTGAGCCATCTCCCCCCCCCTTATTATTTTTAAATAATTTATAATTTTTGAGACAGCCTCAGCCCAGGCTGGCCTTAAACTCCTGGCAACCCTCCTGCCTCCTGCCTGAGTGCTGAGATGACAGGCATGTGTCAGCCACTAAGCCTACTTTCCTAAGGATATCTCTGACGCCGAGGTTTACTTGCTGGGTTGATTGTAACGTTCCTTTGTAGAACTTGAAGGCACACAGCAGAGAACACTGTAACACACTTTCCGACGTCTAACTCCGAAGTTTGCCACCAGAGGGCGTTGCGCCCCACAGTGGTCGGGCTCTCGGGCCGCAGTTAACAAGGCCGCTGAAAATATCCCTGCGGGGCCGCTGCCAGCGCAGGCCGTGACCATTCGGGCGTCTTTTTTGGGGGAGAGCAGCCCCACACAGAACGACACGACGCCCGGCTACTAGAATCTGCCTCCGACCTTGCCTACCCGCTGATCATATGCCGGCCACCACAGGCGGTCCCTTCCAGTCCTCTGCCCACCTGGCTGGCGCCCAAGAGCCCCGGGCAGGCCACGCTGTGCGAGTCTGTCGTCGCCGGCACCTGGACCACCTGGCCGGCGCCTAAAGGGTTACCATGGCACCCAGCAAAGGAGCGTGGAAGAACACTCCCACCGGACTGAAAGCCCGCTCGCCCACTGCTTCGGGATCGCGCAGACCCCGCCCCCATCCAGCGTTTGTCCTTGCTGGGTTTCCGTAAGGGAAGCTGAGACACCGCCGAGGAATCTTGTTATGTAATTCGTCTTTTTTTTTTTTTTTTTTTTTTTTTTTTTTTTTTGAGACAGAGTCCCGCTACTTAGCCGAGGCTGGCCTGGCGCTCAATGCCAGCCTTCTGCCTCCTGAGTGTCAGGATGACAGGCGGCACCACACCATCTGCTTTACTTTTTTTTTTTTTTTTTTCCTTCGGAATCGGGGATTGAACTCAGGCCCTTGCGTACAATTTAGTTTTACTTCACTCTTTTCCTTTATGAAATCCAGGTGTCTGGGGACAGGGACTGAACCCTGTGCACCGTGGGATCTTTGTAGGTGGCCTGCAGGACGATGTCCTCTCTGCCCTGGCGCTGTGCTGGCCAAGCATACCCGCGTCGGAGCAGCAGCTTCTCTGAGGCTGCAGTTTGTCACCTCGGCTGGGACCAGGATGGCCAAATGGAGGCTGCTGGCCCTTGTTTGTCTAACGGCGGGGCTGTGGTCACCAGGGCCATGAGGCAGCTGGGAAGCTGTCCCCCAGCATCTTACAGATAGGGGGACTGAGGTTCCAGCCAAGCTAGCAAGCGCCAGCACAGGGTGGAGCCACTGTGTGGCCGCTGTCACCGCCTGGCGCCTACCCTCCCCACGTCCCGTTCGTGGTGGCCAGGCAGGGTCGGGCAGGAGAGGCAGGGGGTGGGGGGATCTCAGGCCGAAAGGGGCCAAAAGAAGAAGCCCAAGCGACATCTGTCTCCTGTCCCTCCAGGCCTCTACCAGCAGGTTGCCCTCGAACCCGTGGGTGGCTCGGGAGGAGACAGGGTGGGGGTTCACGCAAAGAGCAGAGCCCTGCGGGACTCGGGGTACACGCGGGCAGGCGCCCCACTCACCTCGGGCGGCGACCCCGCCGGCGCTTGGGCGCCCCAGGCCGCGGACTCCGCCAGCAGCAGGTCCAGCAGGCGCAGTGCCTCCGAGCGGCCGTCGGGGGGCGCCGCTGGCGCCGAGCCCGGGGCGGGGGCCGGGGCGGGGGCCGGGGCGGCAGCGTCTGCTGTTGCTACTACTGTCGCTGCTGCAGCCGAACGATGCTCCGGGGCCGCAGGGCTGTGGGATCCCCGCCGCCTCTGCGCCCTTAAGCTCCGGCTGCTGCCGCTGCCCATGGCCCCGAGCGCGCAGGCCCGGGATGGGGAGGGGCAGGGAGGGACGGGGCGGGGGACCGCGGGGGCTAGTATGGGGTGCAGCCCACGATGCACGTGCAGCAGGTATCGGGTGCAATCAAGATTAGGGATGCCAGGTATCCAGGCACAGTCAGGCTTTGGGGTGCTGCCTGGGAGCAGCAGGGGTGCTGGCTGGAGTTGGGGCTCAGGGTGAACCTCTGCCCTGCGGTAGGAGTAGTGGGTGAAGGGGGTTGGGAGGAGGATGGGGCAGTCACGGGTGGGTGCCACCCCCATGCCCAGCTCCCCAAGTCTGCAAGGACCCAGAGCAGAAGGGGCTCCCAAGGCATGGACACCCCGCTGGGCTCCTTTTTGAGTCATGGGGTCCTGACTCCACAGCCTGGCCAGCCTAGATTGCTAGAGGGGCCGTGACCCCACCTCAAGGGCCAAGCAAGGTGCTCAGGTTAAACTGAGGGGCCTGGCAACCCACTTGGGTCTCCTGCCTCTCTCTTGAATAGAAGCTTTCTGTCCCCCAATAAATATATTCTGTACCTGAAAAAATAAAAAAATAAAAATTTGCAGCCAGCAAGGTAGGGTATTGATCATTATTCTGGCCTAAGGTCACTTTATCCAAAACAGTAAACAGAGCCCTAAACCGAGTGTGGTGGTGCCTGCCTGTAATCCCAGCACTCAGGAGGCTGAGGCAAGAGAATCTCCAGAAGTTCAAGGCCAGCCTGGACTACTTACTGAGTTTAAAGCAGGCCTGAAGTACACAGTGAGCCCCTGTCTTAAAAACAAACACTAAACCAAACCATAAACAGAACCACAAAACCTCTTTAATACTTTTAAGAAATTTGCCAGGCTAAGTGGTGCACACCAGGAATCCCAGCATTGTGGGAGGCTGAGGAAGGAGGAGGAAAGTTCAAGTCCAGCCTGGGCTATTTATCTAATTAGCCAAACCCTATCCCCAAAAAGAAAATCAAGTTAGAAACTAGAGAAAGAGGCCAGGCATGTGGCACACACTTGTAATCCCAGCACTCTGGAAGCTGAGGCAGGACGATCACTACAATTTCAGCCTGGGCTACACAGCAAGATCCTGTCCGAAGGGCCAGCCAGATAGCTCAGCAGATTAAAGTGCCTACATAGGCAGACACAGGGACCAGGGTTTGATCTCTGGCATGCTGTGCCAGCCCTCCCCCAGGGTGCTCTGAGACTGTGACGGAGACTGGGCATGGTGGCGTGTGCCTGTAATCCCAGCACTTGGGAGGCTGAAAACAGGAGGATCACTACAAGTCTGAGCTGCAAAGTGAGACTCTGTAGACCTTGTACTAAATACATTTAAAAAAAAAAAAGAGCCAGGGAGATGGCTCAGTTGAATAAGTGCTTCCCCAGCAAGCGCAATGGCCTGAGTTCAATCCCCGGTTCTGCAAAAAAAAAAAAAAAAAAAAAA